GGGCCAGACTCTTTCCAGTGGTGCCCAGCGACAGGACAAGGGGCAATGGGCACAAACTGAAGCAGAGGAAGCTCCAGCTGAAGATGAGGAAGAACTTCTTCCCTCTGAGGGTGACGGAGCCCTGGCCCAGGCTGCCCAGGGAGGCTGTGGAGTCTCCTTCTCTGGAGATATTCCAGCCCCGCCTGGCCGCGGTGCTGTGCAGCCTGCTCTGGGTGACCCTGCTTGGGCAGGGGGTTGGGCTGGGTGACCCACAGAGGTCCCTGCCAACCCCGACCATTCTGTGATTCTGTGTGATTCTGTATAACGTGAAGGCTGTGTTGTCACCTTCAAATCTTGGAAAGATTTTGCTTAAGAAGAGTAACCGTTTCTTCCGTGATACTGGTCACATAAGGTGCGAAGTGAAGACATGCAGTTCAGTCTGAAAAAGAAATTGCTTTCCTGGTGATGCAGCTGGATCTTGTAGGGAATTGGGGCTCGGGACAAATAGTTATGCTTTTGTTTTTCTCTGTTTTCTTTTTTGTTGCCTGGTGGGTGCAGACTTGCTGTCTGAATACCATTTCTGGGTCTTTTAAAAACAGACAAAAAAAACCCCAACTCCCAAGCCTTCTCTTGTTTTTGAAAGCGGTGACTGTCACAGTCCAAAGTACTGATTTTTAGCTATTTAACCTGTTTTTCTACACAGTTTCCCAAGAGGCTTTAAACCTTAGAGGATTTTAGTAAATTAGTCCTTATCAAATTGATTCCTGTATGATTTTATTCTTTTGATTCATTGATTCTTTTGATTAACTGAGTGTAAATTACTTCTGTTACACGGCCTGTCTAATTGAAAGAAAAACGGCTTGAGCTGATATAGCTGTGTTCTGGCAAAGCAGGCCTTCCTCATTAGTCGAGTCATCTTCCATCGCTGACACTGTACTGATAGGCTCATGGTTTTAATTTTTTTTTTTTTGGTAAGATTGTTTTCACTGAGTCATAAGAACCCACAGATTACAACGTCCCGCCTCTTTCCCCTCGAGTCGTTCCGGTGACTGACAAGGGTTGTCTCCTTCAGGAGGTGTCATTCCTGCCTGCCTACAGGCTGTGACAGAACGGGCTTCTCCGCTGGCTGCCCTCTAGATGCAGCTGCAAAATTAATAGTTGACGATAATTCCACGCTTTGTCCTTCTTGGTCTTTCTGCAGTGTTCCTGTGTTAAGTTAGATGGGCTTCTGGGTTTTTGCTGGGCAGGCAAGAGGTGAAAGGTTCCTTGCTTATTCGTTTTGTTGTTTGTTTTTTTTTTTTTCTGCTTAGTAATGTTAATGTAGTGAGATGGAAGGAAAAGGAGAACGGCTGTTATATTACGTAATTTTTTTATTAATCATTGTTGCATACCTAACTTTAGTAAACTATCCTCTGATTTCCTTACACAGGGCTAGTGAGTAACGTGGTTTTCACCAGTCATGCTACGGAGCAGAAGCATCCACTCCTGATGCAACTGCAGAGCCTTATCCGGGCGGCAAATCCTGCTGTTTCATTCATCCTGGCAGAAAATGGAGTTGTAACTAGGTAACGTTAGTTACTGTCCAGTATTTGTCGTTTTTGGCAGATGGGACACAGATGCTTAGCAACTTGTGTTTTCTTGTTTTACTCTGGTAGCTTATACAAAGGAGATGCAGATTTTTCTTAATTGCTTCTCATGCAAAAGGCATCTTCCCTTTACATTTATGGTCATATAAATATAGGGATTAGGAAATGTATGTTTTTGTTTGCAGAGCATGATTTATGTTACTGCTACTGTCATACTTAATTTTACTGTGACTAACACAATCTGTTTTATGAAAGTAGCATAGAGATAATGGCCATTTTATTGAATTTATAAAATTAAAAATCTTCATCTTTATCTCTTTATAGGAATGAGGATATTGAATTAATTCTCTCAGAAAGCAGTTTTTCAAATCCTCAGATGATGAGAGCTCGATATTTAATGTATCCTGGCTGGCAAGTATCTAGACTGAGAAATATTAAAACTGTTTTTCTAATTAACTTGAAGATTAAAAATTCTCACTAACTTAATTTATATTTTTTTCAAGACCACTCATTTGGAACAGGCGATAGCTTTGTAAATCATTTTTACAAGAGCTGATGAGTATTCTTAGTAGATACACGATTGCTGTCCTTTTGTGGGGAAAAGGATCCTTTCTGGACACCATTTAAATCGATGGCAAGATTATTGTTACTTTTCAGAAGAATAGAAAAGAACCCTCTTGCGAATAAGCTGGGAAGGATTGGGATGGGTGAGGTCAATAATGACTGGAGTAATTTCGTTCTGACAGCTATTCAGCCTTACTGGAATCAACTTGCTATGTCAGTCTAGCTATTAGCAGAACAATTATTCATAAAAACCAGCAACCTTATTGACAGTCTTGGCAGAGGCTAAGGGCACAATAAGACATGGTACCAAGCTTTCCATTTAGCACGGAGACGTGTTTTTCATGGTTTGGGGTTCCTTACACATCATCTTGCAGTTATCTGTGCTGCACCTTATCTGGCAGAAAATGGAAACCTGTCAGCCATTGCAACTCCTGGCTGACTGTTTCCTAGTTGCATTTACGGTGTTGGAAGCATGGTTTATTTACTGTACCTTGCCAGTCCTGTATGTATGTACATCTTTTTATTTAAAACATTATTTATTTACTGTACTTTGCCAGTCCTGTATGTATGTATATCTTTTTATTCGTAATTCTCACTCTGGACACAAATAAAGCCCCTAAAATAAACTGGCACAAAGCTTGGGGTGTCAGAGCTGCTTGTGGATTGCGTGGAGCTGAAGGAAGAGAGAGAAAGGAGGAAAAGAAAGCATTTAAAACTCTCGGACAACCTTTAATCTATTTATAGATGATAGTATGCAAGAATAGTAAGGAGATAGTACATAAGAAAAAAAAAAAATGGAGCAGGAAGAGCATCAACAGGAGCCCTGAGCTCTTCGAACAACCTAGTACTGTTAATGTCACATTTTCATGGATGTCTTAGAGAAAAAGCTTAGTATTTTTGTTCCTATGAGCAAGGCTTACCTGTGGTGAAATAACAGATACGCCTTTTAAGAAGTGTGTGAGGTGAGAAGCACAAGTGTGTGCATTTCCTGTATGTTGAAGGTGTGTGTTTGTTTTTGTCTTAAGGTATGAAGGCAAATACGGAGCTGGGTCTGTCTTCCCTCCAATGGTGCAGATCTGTGTATGGTTTAATCGTCCTCTAGAAAAAACACGATTTGTGACCAAATGTAAAGGTACAAATTAACTTTGACTGACTTTATTCTTCAGTATTTCAAACTCGGATTTAAATCGAGGGGAAGGAAGGCGCTGACGTAGCATGGTTATTTAATTACTGCTGAAGTAAACTTTTATTTGAAAATTCAGCTTTCCTTCCTTGAAGTACAGAAAATTGTCGTCTTTAGTGTCTGCTCTGGAAAATTGACCAATGATTTTGTTCAGATGAAAATCTAATTTAATTTTGGGTTTCTAGAGACAGAGACACTTATCTTTATATGTCTGCTTTCTATTTTATGTTTAATTTTATTTGGTAGTGTCGAAATACAGTTTATAAGTGACCATCAGCTTCTGTGTTTTATGCCAAATAATTCTTTCTAGTTCCTAGAAAACAGGCTTAGCTCTGTGTTAGGCTACTAGAGTAGATATATAATCATGCCTTTCCTTCTTTCCTTAGCAAAACAGTGTTAAGGAGCACCATCTTACTTTCCACACACACTGTAAGCGTTCATTATGCCAAACACATGTTATTTCCCACCTACCCCATAGCAAAGAAATGAGAACATCTAGAAATGTTATGTAGTGGAGCTCCGGGGGACACTGCAGCTTCTTCCCCTGAAGCACTAGGATGTGGATTAGAGACCTGTAGCATAGGTCTGAGCAGAAGCTACACCAAGGATAAGAACGAGAAGTGAGGTCATCTGTTTGTCTTCTGTTTCAAACAGGGATTAAGTCATTGCTCAAGCCAAGTCCTTTTTCGGGAAACATTTATCACATCATGGGCAAAGTTAAGTTTTCAGGTAAGGGCAAATGAACGCGTGGTCTTGTGATTGCACTGCGTGTCTATGTATTTGAAAACTTTTTTATGAACTGTATTCCATCTACACCAACGTGTTGGTGTGGAATTAGATTAGCAATTATCAGGATGTTTCTTTCTTCTGTCTTCTCCTTCTTAGATTCTGATAAAGTGATTGAAGTCTGTCACAACACATCATCTAATTCACTAAGCCTTGTGCCTGTTCAGGAGGGGCCGACTCCTCCTGATTCCAGAAGCGATAACAGAGATTGCAGCAGTCAACAGGAGTGCTTCCTTGTGTTCATTGGCTGCTCTCTCAAGGAAGAGGAGATAAAAGACTGGCTCAGAGAAACTGCCAGACAGGTTCGTGGGCATGTTCACTTCTGTTTGGTGTCAGCTGATTGGCAGCTCTTAACAACAAAAGGAGGAATCTGAGTGTCTCCATGAAACTTTTTTTTTTTAATGTCCTTCCTCTTCTACCAAGGTATTGGCATTCCAGGGTGTAAATGTATTTCAGACAGAGGGCGAACAGTTTGCAAATGTGTATTGTAATTTGTGTGTTGTCCTGATACCTGCTACAGCGCGTTCATGGATTGATCTGCTTTTGAACACGTGAGCAAATGGAGTACGCCCAGAATAAACACAGTATGATTTGGCTGAGATGCGATTGCCAAAAGCTTAAGTGTAGTATGAAATGAATCTTCTTGAAGTACCTGAACACTGCAAGGCTGAAAACTTGCTTTGATTCACTAAATTAAACCTCCTTGGAAGTAATCCACTGAGGTGGAGGGTATAGTTTCTTTTCATTTTGTCTTGCTTAATTTGTCAAGCGTGCAAGCTATGAAAGACTTGATGTGTTTCTGCATGGCTAATGTACCTATGCAATAGGAGTTGCAGAAGGGAACGGAGAATATGCACATCATAAGAAGCCTAGAGGCATATTGTGCAGTGGTGGTGTTTTGCTAACTTCACACAGTGACTGGCATGACCTCACCAGGAGCGCAGGACAAGATGGTTTGCTGCTACACAACCGAGTAATACCAACAGGTATTACTTCTGCCAGGCTGCACGTTAAGGTCTTAGGAAGTGAGCATTGAGGTTTGATTCAGAAATGAACTTGGACAGAAAATGTTCAACCCTACAAATGGCGTATTTTGGCATTGTAGTTGGAACCTGAGCTTATAGTTCCAACTGTGCCCTTTCATGATGCCCATTTTGGAACGTTTGTTAGTTAAAATTACTCGTGATTACTTCTTTATGGCTTAGGATTTGCATAGTATCTCTAGAATGTTGTGTAGGAAGGGAAAAAGGTTTCTTGCAGACTGGTGTTGAAGCTGTTCCAAAGGATCTTCAGGTTCTTATCTCTGTCCTCCCAGCAGGTTGTGTGACTTCAGGGCAGTATACAATTTCTGTGATGATTCCTCATGCTCTGTACATGTCACATAGATAATACATGGAGTCATATGCCTTTGACATGTAAGAAAGCACTCTATGGAATCCTATTTTAATTTATGAAAACTTGAAACTTACGTGCTATCTCAAGCTTGAAGTGCTTCCTCTTTGAGCAGTTCGAAACTAAAATAGTCTTTGTACAGTGTCACTAGTCATGGCTAATTTAGGGTTTCAGATAGTTCTGAGAATTACTGCACACTGCATGAAAGAATCTAATTATAAAACTTTTCAGACTAAAAACTAGATTGTTTTTCTGTTCCTGTGCCAGCTTTCTTCCTTTTTTTGCAGTAGAGCTGTGTTTAAATCATATTATTTAAAATACTTCTGGAATTTGTCATTTCTAACAGTGCCTTATGTAAGATCCCTTAATTTTGACTTTTGTTTTCAGAGCATAGTTGTGAGTACCTTAACATAATTGAATAATTCTGTCTAGAAATTAATTGTAAAAACACATGCTTCTGTTCTGTGCTGGTCTGGAGTCTGATAGCATGTGATCATAGATTTCACTGCATTTACCCTCATTTTCAAGAAAGAACTTACTTTTCTGTGGTTTTGTTTGGTTGTTTTTTTTTTAAATGTGACGAAACACTAGTATCACGTTGTCACTCAGTAGGTATATAACTGGGGTCTAATTCTTCATACAGAAACCTCAGAGGAAAGCCCTGAAAACCAGAGGAATGCTAACTCTTCAGGAAATAAAAAACATTCACGTAAGTAGAAGCAATTAATAGCAAGTCCTTCTTTTGGCTGATTTTCTTAAATACCCATTTGTATGATAGAGCACCTCCCATACTTGCCATAACAAGCGTGCTGAGCACTAAATTATTGCGGCACTTAGTGTCTTTTTATATACTTGAAATGTAACTGAGGCTGTCCAGAAGAGACTGGAGATATAAATCTTGGTGTTATCTCAGGGCTTCGAGTTAGCTCTGGAATGCAGCAGGGAGGCCTAGGGTGCTGGACAAGCACACACTTTTGGTTACTGTAATGGTCTTTCCCCACCTTTTCTCCCTGTTGCAACGTGCTGTGCAGGTTGTCACTTGCAACTTAGGATCCCCAGTGCCTAACCCTGCCCTCGTCAACTACCTTTAGGTTGTAAGTGCTGTTTCTGGAGTTGGGTTCCTGCGAGTCTGGCACGGCTGTGATGAGTGTCGCTGTACCTAACTCCCCTAGTCCATAGGGATGTCACTTGTCACTCTGTTTTCAGAGCGCTCCTTTCTAGCCAGGAGCCGTACCTTCCTCCCTGGCTGCTGACTTCAGCAGAAGGAGTTTTTCTTCTCTCTGTTTAAGTTTGTTAGGACTGTCTCTAAGCAGTTATGAGTTTTAAATGTTTAATGTACGGTATATTCTTTCTTAATATAGGTGAAACGCCACTTGGATCCACTTCCAGCTGGTTATTTTTACAACGGGACTCAATTTGTGAATTTTTTTGGTGACAAAATGGATTACCATCCATGTATCCTTTCAAATATGGGGGTTTTTTGGTGAGGGGTTTAGGTAGGCAGCAGGCTATGCAAATCTGAAATGTAGCCTGTCAAAGCAGATGATACAGTGAAGAGCCAGTTTGATTTGCAGGTGTAGGAAGGGAAAAGTTTTTTTCCTTAAATCTTTGCATGGCCCCTTGCAATTTAAAGCTTGCTGTTAAAACCCTTTTTCGGAGGTACTGTCTAAGAAGCAGAATAGAACCAACAAAACAATCCCATAACTCTATCATGAGCTCACACAGAGAAGAATTTATGGATCGCAGCTTGTCAAAGAAATATTTTTCAAACCAAATAGTGCTGTAGTAGTGCTTAATGCCTGGTCATGACTGGTAAAACTTCCAAATTAATATAATTTTGTGTGCGTGCATGTGCATGCACACACTCAAGTAGAAACAATCAGGGTTGTTTTAGGTTTTACTACAGTATCCTTTTTTCTGCCACGTATTTTGCGGTGAAGCTGATGTTAAATGATTGCTCTTTTATAACCTGGTATGAGGAAAAACCTGACTGGATGCAACGCACTAATATAAACAGGGTGTTCAGAATTAGGTGTGAAGGTGGATTTTTTGTAATCGCTTTTTAGATTCACTCAGGGAAGTAAAAGGTTATTTTAAAACTACTGCAGCTTAGCAAGCAGTGTGATTTACTTATCAAATTGTGGCACGTGCACATTTGTAAACGCGCTGTCCTTGCTGGTCTTGTTTGGTGTCAGTTCACAGTGACGTGAACTACAGCTGAAGCTGGGTCCTCTGGATTTCTTTCCAGAAATTATTTCGATGTTTTAATTTAAACCTGATCATATTTTTGTCTTTGGCAAGAAACGCCAGAGTAATACTAATGTTCCAGTGCATCCCTGCTGTTCGTTCCTCTTTTCATAACTTTCTATTGCTTTTGGTTTTGTTTTATTACCAAAATTGTAAACTTGACTTTTTTTATTCCCAGTTTACTTTTCACTTGAACTTTGCCAAACTTTACAAAAGTCCAAGCAGGTTCTGTGATTCTGTTTCGGAATAAGAACAAACAGTTATTTTCTGTGCCCTATGGGACAACTTTAAAATTTTAAGCCAGCAGACTTCTGCAGGATAAGCTCCTAGTTACGGTGTACTGGCAGAGCACAGCCTGACAGCGAACGTGGACTTCAGCAGTCGCTGGACCTTTACTGCACCACCATCGTGATGTTTGGCAGTAAAAGATACAAGCACTGGGTAACCACTTCTGGATGATCTGAATTTTGGGCAGAGGTTTTTTTTAGACTTCCACTTCACCAAAATAGCTGTAAACATCTGCAAACCTGCTGTAGTTGTGCTGTTCTTATAGTCTTCCTCGTGACTGGGAAATGTCTGTTATGCAACTCCTTTATTCCCCAGTAACATAGGGTAGTTGCAGTTAGGTCTGCCTGTGGGCATCCCGGCAGGTAATACTCTGAATTTCTGCTTTCAGGAAGTGTCCCCGAACTGGCACATCCTTCAAACCTGTACGTTCCTTTCTAATGAACGCTGTTCGCTCAAATGTTTTTTCCTTAGTTATTCGCAATCAGTAATGGACCAATTCATGAACGATTACTTGGAAGAAGCCAACAGGGAAATAGAGAAGTACAACAGAGAACTAGAAGAACAAGAGTACCATGATCTCTTCGAGCAGAAGACATAAGCACGTGCGTTCTGTGCGTTTCTGAAACACCTACTGTCAGTAACCAAAAATGCTGTTGTCCTTGCTGGTTAACTAGAAAATTAAGTGAAATGTCAGTTTTCAGCACTCCTTTTAAAACATACAATATCATTCCTGTAAGGTTGGCATTTTAACATGGTAACTGCTTAGCTGTTTGTACTGTCAGGTTTGCTTCCACTTCACCTTAATTCCAGACTGTAAAAAGCATCACCTGGAATCTCTGGCTAGTAGTGGAAACTTATTTAAAAGAAGAAGAAGAAAAGAACCAAAACTATGTTTCCTAGTAGGTCAGAATGTGATCATGGAATTGGTCCGTCGTGCAGATGATCAAACCCCACTTCACTCTCTGGATGTCCCTTGAAACTTGTTGTACAGGAGCACTGATGAGCAGTGGAAGACTTCAGTATGTGGGATTGGGGGATGTTCCTAAAGCGAGAAATAGGGGAACATCTGAAAACTCGGAAGAGTACCTAATCCCACAGCTGTCAGGGGGTTCCCAAAGCGAGAAATGGGGGAACACTTGGAAATCTCTGAAGAGTACCTAATCCCACAGCTGTTAGGGGGTTCCCAAAGCGAGAAATGGGGGAACAATTTAAAAACTCCAAAGAGTACCTAATCCCACAGCTGTTAGGGGGTTCCCAAAGCAAGAAATGGGGGAACAATTTAAAAAATGAGGAGTACCTAATCCCACAGCTGTTAGGGGGTTCCCAAAGCGAGAAATGGGGGAACAATTTAATAACTCTGAAGAGTACCTAATCCCACAGCTGTTAGGGGGTTCCCAAAGCGAGAAATGGGGGAACACTTAGACATCTCTGCTTTTCGGAGGGGACAGCATGTCTCATCACCTCTGCAAAGTTTGCATCTGCAGTTGATTGTTTGAATTTTCAAAAGAAACAGATGTTTATACATTTCAGGGTGAAACTAGATAAGTGAAGATACCTTGCTGTCCTTCACAATGTTCTTATTCTTGTTCTAGAAAACAGATGACATGAATTGCAGTAATCTGCAACTTGCTGTTGCTTAAAAGATTGTCTCTGAAGTATTTTTTATTTCAATACTAAAAACTAAGCAAAGCAAGAGAAGAGAGAGATCCTTTAGCTAAATACCTAATCCCACAGCTGTTAGGGGGTTCCCAAAGCAAGAAATGGGGGAACACCTGGAAATCTCTGAAGAGTACCTAATCCCACAGCTGTTAGGGGGTTCCCAAAGCGAGAAATGGGGGAACAATTTAATAACTCTGAAGAGTACCTAATCCCACAGCTGTTAGGGGGTTCCCAAAGCGAGAAATGGGGGAACACTTGGAAATCTCTGAAGAGTACCTAATCCCACAGCTGTTAGGGGGTTCCCAAAGCGAGAAATGGGGGAACACTTGGATAACTCTGAAGAGTACCTAATCCCACAGCTGTTAGGGGGTTCCCAAAGCGAGAAATGGGGGAACAATTTAATAACTCTGAAGAGTACCTAATCCCACAGCTGTTAGGGGGTTCCCAAAGCGAGAAATGGGGGAACACTTGGAAATCTCTGAAGACTACCTAATCCCACAGCTGTTAGGGGGTTCCCAAAGCGAGAAATGGGGGAACACTTAGGCATCTGCTCTTTTCGGAGGGGACAGCATGTCTCATCACCTCTGCACAGTTTGCATCTGCAGTTGATTGTTTGAATTTTCAAAAGAAACAGATGTTTATACATTTCAGGGTGAAACTAGATAAGTGAAGATACCTTGCTGTCCTTCACAATGTTCTTATTCTTGTTCTAGAAAACAGATGACATGAATTGCAGTAATCTGCAACTTGCTGTTGCTTAAAAGATTGTCTCTGAAGTATTTTTTATTTCAATACTAAAAACTAAGCAAAGCAAGAGAAGAGAGAGATCCTTTAGCTAAAGAATTCTTTTTCATGAAAATGACTTGTTTCCAAAGGTAAAAAGTATCAGAAGATATACTTGAAATATGAAAGAACTTGTTTTTGAAGCTTTCAGAAGAATTTGCACACCGTAACATTTCACTGAACTGACACACCTGGTTAGTACTTGCAACAAAACCCTTGTTAGTTACTAAATGATATCATAATAGGAATTCTGGCCACTTGTCCTTTAACTTAATTTAGTACGATTTAAATTGAGACTTCATAGATCACTGACTGAAGGATTATAAGGTTCCGTAGCATCTACTTAAAGGTAATTATTGAAGCTTATTTGATTAAGCAGATTATTGTAGCATGCTGTGTGTTTCAGACTTTAGTCAAGTGAAAACAGTCCAGGAAGAATTTTTTATTTTCATATTTGTTTGCCTTAGGAACAGCTCAGTCTTTTAATACAAATGCAACTTTGCTCTTTGGTCAGATGTATGCAATGCAGTTAGAAATTCTATGAGTAATTTCTTACCGTACACTTAAAATACTCATATCATGCCCACGCAGTCCTTTCTGTGGCAGGAAAATGAGATTTAACTCCTGCCATCGAACCGAAGGCTACATAGAGATTTATGTCTGTCTTAAGAAATATATTTTTTACCTTTGGAATCTAAAATAGCTGAAATTTCAATAAGCCTGTCAAAAACTGAAACACCTTTTAGGTAGACTTTCAGGACACGTTGCTACTAGCTGGCTCAGTGCCCGCGCTGTGGTGGGTGGAATTCCAGGTGCTGCAGATTGGGATATAGATGTTGATAAGGTTTCGTTAATAGCGTTCCTACTAGATATAAAAAGCTGTCTGAATTTAAGATATATATTTTTTTTTTGCACACCACGAGACTTTATAAACTCTTTGTATCCTGTCAAAGTACGGTAAAAGCCAGCGATTAGTTTGTGTTTCTAGGCTTTCTGGGGTAACCCCTATTACAGGTATAGAGCAGCAGGATAAGGCTCGTGAGTTTATCTATGCATGGCTATACTTTAGTCTTAATAAACTGTAGTGCCTGGTAGAGTAAACGTAGCTAGCGGTGGATTTGGGGGGCTAGCGGGTGTTTACAAGCTAAGTTCAGTTGGTTGCAAGAAGCTATTGATCAGACCAGGATTATTAGAGTACAAAATTCCGGTCGTAACGCTGCAATAAAAAGGGGGCATTAGAAAATTCTTAACAAATTATAGTTCTTTGCCAATAAACTTAGCGTAAACCCAGTGTGCTCCTTTTCAGTGCAAGTTATCTAACCTGCAAAGCCATATTTCTAGAGTAGCAGTATGACTACGTAAAATCAGAAGAAACACCCGTGCTTGGGACGGCAGGCGCGTCGTTGATGCTGTGTCTCAACGTGCGGGTTAATAACAGAGTAGGTTTAAGTGCAATTTTTGGAACGATAGATGAAGATACTGTAGCTTGTTTTGCTCTGCTGAGCTCTTTTTAAGAACTCCGATTTGTGCAGCTCCCGAAAATAAACGCCGATGGGGCTAATTCATCTGGGCTGAGGGCAGCGAGTCGTGATCGCGAGCGAGGTGCCCCGTGAACGAAAAGGAAATCAGGATTCGCGGTTGGCGTGCTGCTGTGCAAATTGGGCGGTTCCTTAAAAACTGACGCAGGAGAGCGCGGAACGAAGGCCTCGTACGCTCGTATACTGTACTGCATGCTGTATGGTAATAGCTGTGTATTATGAAGACCTTTCACCATACTGGTACTAGTTCAATTAATATATTTTGGTATTGAAATAATTTGATTACCTCAATTTAATATTTTTTTGTTTCTTTTTCGTTAACTGTGACTTTAAAACAGAAAAAAATACTGAAATAGTGAAACTGTGACGATGGTATCCTTTAAAGATAGTAGTGCCTTGCAGATGACACCATTTATTCATGAAGCATGAAATAAATGGATGTCTGGGGTTGTATTGCTTGCACCCTCTTTTTTTTAAAGGAAAAACGGTTTTGGTGAAAGGACTTAAAATTAACCTAGTGAAGAATATTAGCACAAATGGTTAAACTGTTTAAAAGAAAACTCTTTGAGGACTAAGATGTGTGAATGCCTGATGCTGCTGGTAGTTTTAATAGCAGTTGCTGATTATTTTGGAGTTACTTCTAACGATCAGCAGCACTTTTTTTTTTAGGAGAAGAGCGTAACTTTTGTACTCTGGTCAGAGATGTTTATACCGTATCAGACCCCATCTGAGGGTAATCTGGTTTCCTCACTCTTTTGAAGTCGGGGTCAGGGTTGAGATACTTCTAAGGATCTAGTTTTGCAAATTTTTTTAGCTACTGTAAAACTGAAAAAAAAAAAAGCACCATTTCTAAACCACAAATGTTTGGATACAGAAGAAGTGCCATTACACTGTTCCTTTACCTTTTACTGTATTTTGAATATTGGTAACAGTAACGTTGTGTCCAGGCATTTCTGATGTTGTGAAGAAGTGCTGAGAGTCCTCAAGGGGTTTACCTGCTTTGCTGACCTTCATGTTAGCAGCTTGTGGTGGTGGTTTGTTTTTTTCCCCTCACTAAGAATGAGTGTGATCAGAAGTTACTGAAGTTATAGGGAGAAAAATGTGATAAACTTAGGAGAGGAACCTTTGCAACTTGAACTGCGCTGCGATCTCAGAGTACTTTATATTAAGCTGTGCAATTTGGTATTAGTCCAGTTTTACACTTTGCAATTAACATAAGTGATTGCAGGGAGGATTTAAGTTGCACGTAAGAGTTCCCTAATAAGTTTTTTTTTTAATTATTATTTTTAATTGAAACTTTTCTGAATTTGCACAGATTTAAGCTCTGGAATACTTTGGTATTCTTAAAAGGGAAAAATTGTAACTAGTATAGTGAATTGTAAACTGTGAGTTGTCAGAACTGCGTTGTTGATCTAATTTTAGATTGTTTAAAACTGTACCTCAGAAAGCTAGTGAGAAATTGTTTGATTTTTACACAAGGGTCAGATACTAATGTAACGCTTCTCACTTTACAAGGTGCCAAAATTCACTTTTATACTAGTTCTCAATGCTTTAATATTTGCAACTTTAAGTTGAAAACGTGTATTTACAAACACTACTGTAACTTCAGTTAAACTGAATTGTGTGGTTGAAGCTTTTTGCCTATTGTATTTATTACACAACTTGAGTCAGTAAAGATAAAATTACCTTTCCCATTTATTTTTGTATTGTTTTACATGTTTATACCTGCAGTTTGTGTGACTTTTACACCCGTAACTCAGATGCGATGGAAAGAACCAATAAACAATCTCCATCCGCTGTCTGTCTTTGACTTCTTTAATAGATTGTTTCCTAAACTGGATTTTTTTAAGCTTTGAGCGGTTTTCTTTTAAAT